TTTTGTGTTTTACATGGATGACTGTAGCTACAGCAACATACCTGAAACCAAATTTGGACTTTTCAAAATTGACATTCACATCCTTGCTGTCCTCCACCAAAAACTCGATGAAGACACAGTCCCGTCTGTCGTACCACTTAGCAGCTGCTGGATGCCTGATAAGGGAAATTTGTATTTGAATTAAAGCTAAAACGGATAGGATAATTTACAGATAACAATTTTATATGTGGATATAATCACTTAAACAGGATCACTTAAATACTGGATAGAATATGTTGACCAATCAAGCTGATATTTGATCAGTTAAGGTTATAATATCTTGTCAGCAAACATGCTTTTCCCCATTTATTGTCAAAGACACTGTTTTTCCCATACATTTAAGCAAGTATTGTGTATTTAAGTTGCAATTTTGAGCATCTCTTATTCGCAATCACTTCACTGTATAATATATTCAAACATTTGGGGTAAGATAAAAAAAAACAGAAATTAGGATTGCAAAAAGGTGGAAACTTTCTGGAAACTTTCCACCCCTTTGCAACCCTAATAGAAATTTATTTTATTCAGCAATAACACATTAAATTGATCAAAAGTGACAGCAGAGACATTTATAATGTTAAAAAAAGATTTATATTTCAAAAAAAATGCTGTGCTTTTGACCTTTCCATTCATCAAAGAAACCTGAAGAAAAAAATCTATCACGGTTTCCACTTTCCACAAAAAATATGAAGCAGCTCAACTGTTTTCATCTTTGATAATCATGTTTCTTGAGCAGCAGATCGGCATATCATACTGATTTCTGAAGGATCATGTGACACTGAAGACTGGAGCAATGATGCTGAAAATTCAGCTTTGATCACAGGAATAAATGACATTTTAACATATATTCAAATAGAAAACTGTTAATTTCAAATTATAATAATATTTCACAATTTTGCAGTTTTTTCCATATTTTATCATCAAATACATGCATCCTTTGTGAGAGACTTACTGCCTTGCAAAATCTGAATGGCACTGACACAGACTGACATTTATAAATATATTGTATAAATATTACTTTCTATAAAGTTATCAGAAAATAATTTGGGAGACATTTTGTCTTGCTGTACAGCAAAATAGCGTTTTTAATTGTATTTTTGATCTAATAAATAAGAGACTTCTTTAAAAACCATTACAGATCACAAACATTTTATTAATAGGCCTAATCTTTCCATTAATCTGTTCCACATGGTTACCATTAATATCCTTAGCAAAATATGTATCATTAAAAACTGCACTGTCCACCTTGCTCTCTAGTATCAGCATTGTCCAATAAAAGTCAACCACTAATTGAAATATTAGGCGTCAAACGTTCCCCACAAACACTACTTGTACAGTGAGGCAAAGAAAACTCAAATCAGACCGTCTGTAAAGAGCAGTTATCTGTGAGACACCAGCACTTCTGCCTCAGCTCCTGCTCCTTTCCTAAAAGACTAACCCTAACCCCAGCCCATGCTGTACTGAGTGACTCACCATTTAGCTCTGCAGCCAGTACACACTTAACAACAGTGGCATTTACTCAATTCCATCCTCATAATAAATGTAATCCTCATACTGTACATGCCCATAGGACTAAACTAATTAACTGATGTGAAATACCATCAGGGCACGACCTGCTTTTCTTTTTTATTAAGATAATATGATCACATGACTTCCTGATATGACAATCTGAGTCCTAGGAATGTCTGCCATTAAAATAAAACCTGCACCTTTATTTGAAATCGCAGACATCTGATGAGAGGCTCAGACATGGTCTCTGTCTTCGGGGATGTGTGAGTGATTGTCACTTATTGATTCATTCATCTGGCCCTGAAGCACGTGCAGGAGGCGCTCGTTCTCACGATGCATTCAGCCATAAACGAAGCTAAAAGATCAACTCCGTCACACTAACAGCGCTCTGAGCTTTTGTCGATACTGAAAAACACAGTTTTACAAAGATTTGCGCGTTTATGAACAGACCCGAGCGGCGAAGGAGGCAAGTTAACATGCTAACACCGGTGAGCTGATACAGGCTAACTGTAACGAGCTAGCTTACTTTACATTACACACATTTCAGCAACTAGCACAGCTTTCTGAACGTAATGCTCTTAGATCTGGTGTTTAATAAATCCGCCGATACTTCCACTACGTTACCGGATAGTTTAAGGACTAGGAGTGGAGTGAACGAGTCGTGCAGAAGTAACGCTAACTTAGCTAATGCTGGCTAGCGATACGCTTCACAGTCTACGCAGTTTCTCAGTACTGGGTTCAGTGGCGAGCTGTATTTCGCATACATCAGTACAGATATTTTCCACAGAAAGCGCAGACTTACATGGCTTTGGCGGCTGTGTGTGTGTCTGGTCGGGGTTTCTGGTGTGTTCTCCCGGGGTTTGACTGTGTTCTGGTCTGACTGGCGGGCGATGGGCGGAGCCTCAAACCACGCCCCTCCCGTCGCTGGACTTTTCTAGAGCTTCCGTTTGAACCGAGCGGCAACCTCCCGCTCTCTCTCGTGAAGCCAACACGGAAGTGACTTAAGCCTTAAAGTTCTGCATAATTAAGGGCGTGGCCACTTGAGTGGCAGGTGGATTGCCGCTGCTGTCACCACCGTCGAGCTAGGTGGGCGTGGTTTCAGCAACCTGCTCCCGCCTCTTTGCCCATCTTTGATTATCCGGGAGTGACGTGCCAAGATGGCGACGGCCGGCTCCGCCCACTTTGAGCTTCAAAACCCTCTTCAGGAACCTACGGGTGAGGTCACGGACACTACATCCATGTTTTTATACAGTCTATGGTTAAAAAAAATTAAAACACAGTCTATGGTTTGAACGCTTAAAGGTCCCATATTGTCAAAACTGAAATTTCCTGGCTTTTTTTCATGATAACTGAGGTCTAGGAGCTATTTAACTACCATATAAGTTTCAAAACAGTCAGTCCGCAGTAAAATGCGCAGAGCCTGCTTAAAGTAGCTGTGATTTTAACGAACCGTTGTGACTCCTGTAAAAAGTTGACGTCAGAACTACACAGTCACCGCCTTCAGTCGCCACCCCGAGCACCGCCCACCGTCCCACTCTCCTTTAGCCACACCCCCAGACAAGATCGCATCCATGCCATTGCTGAGCAACAACAACACAGAAACATGTCGAAAAGGTTAACTTTAACCACGAAACCAGATCGGCCGACCAGTAACGTTACACTCTCACTCAAAGCATGGACGATCTGACAGGATTGTTACTGTGAGGTGGATCACATCTGACGTGTTTAGTAAAGACAAACTCACCGTGTCTATCTAGTCATGATCAAGATGTATATACATTTCAGTTTCAGCAGGCAACTATTTTTACAGCTACATTATTGTCCCAGCCACAATTAATCACAACAATGTACTGTATATACAATTACAAATGATTACATATAAATGGTCAGTTTGTTGTTTTATACACATGACATTATTTCATACACGATATAGTCGTGAGATGCAAGAAACATAGACATATGGCAAGAAATCTGTAGACACGCCCATAACAACAAAAGACAATACTTTATTGAACCTTTTCTGATAAGAAGTGTGCGCTGCAAACGCGAGCATTTTTGACGATGGTTTCTGTCCAGTCTGCTCGTTTTATTGCGTTTAACCACAGCTGTCGTCGGTTTTTTGTCTGGCAGTGGCAGCAGATATGCGATCAAATTTCTAATTTGAGGCTGTATTACGTAGATTCTGGCACCCAACATCACAACAAGATGATATTTTAAGCTCCTTATGAATGGGCCGCCTCCAGTTTCCCCTTTGTTTTGCTGCCTCCAGCTAGCGCTGTGACGTCGGCTGACCCTAGTTACCTGTGGTTGGCCTGGCCGTGTGTCACTCAGAAAACAACAGGCCAATCAGAAGAGAGGCTCATGAATATTAATTAGACAGGCCAAAATCGACCTGTTCTCAGCAGAGCTCCTGAGAGAGGAGCTGTAAAAATATATTGAGATGGTTTTTGGTACTTATACCGCAAATATATATTCTTAAGGACATCAAGACTTAAAATAAAACTCCAGAGAGGTGTAAAATATGTGACCTTTAATGCAAAATAATGCAAACTTCTCAGTGACTACTTCACTTTACTTCACGTTTCCCCCTCAACATGTTTGTCTATTAATAAAGTAATATAATCTCATTTTGTATGTTTTATTTGATACATTATTTGTAAATTTGCTGTCCCCTCAAAATAACTCAACACACAGCCATTAATGTCTAAACCGCTGGCCACAAAAGTGAGTACACCCCTAAGTCAAAATGTCCAAATTGGGCCCAATGACCAGTATGAGAGAGTGAGAGCGATAGCACCAAATTTAAGACACCTGCATTTTCTCTCAGGTGTGTTAAATTTGGTGTTATCGCTCTCACTCTCTCATACTGGTCACTGGAAGTTCAACATGGCACCTCATGGCAAATAACTCTCTGAGGATCTGAAAAAAAGAATTGTTGCTCTACATAAAGATGGTGTAGGCTATAAGAAGATTGCCAAGACCCTAAAACTGAGCTGCAGCACGGTGACCAAGACCTTACAGTGGTTTAACAGGACAGGTTCCACTCAGAACAGGTCTCGCCATGGTCGACTAAAGATGTTGAGTGCATGTGCTCAGCGTCATATCCAGAGGTTGTGTTTGGGAAATAGACGTATGAGTGCTGCCAGCATTGCTGCAGAGGTTGAAGGGGTGGGGGGGCAGCCTATCAGTGCTCAGACCATACGCCGCACACTGCATCAAATTGGTCTGCTATATATATATATATATATATTCACACTGTAATTATTACATAGGCTATTTAAATAAATTGTCTAAACTCTCATCAGTATTTTAACAAACAGTTACAGCAGGTAATTATCAGTATTTGTATATAATAAAATGTAGCTATTTAAGCTTAAGCTAAAGTCATTTCAACAATAAATAAATAAACTAACACAAACTGCCCAGCTTTTATTTTGAAGTGACCCTGACTCGGCATTTGTAGCTTAGCGTCGGGTGCTTCGCGTTGCTTGCAGGGCAAATGACAGACGAATATAAGCGCTGTTTTGTTTTCTTTCTTCGTTTTAAAGGAATCGTGCGTTTTGCACGCTGTTATTGGTGTAATTCATCTGTGATGTGTATGACTGGTCAGATTTGATCGCCCACTGGACTGCTGTGAAGCAGCTGACACCGTCCTAAATCTGAAGACATTCCTGCACAGATCCTTATCATCACACACACGATGGAGCATTTATGAACGAGTGGCCAGTGTCTGCATCTGAGCCGCGGCGTAGGCGTGTGTTAGCTCGGGCTGGCTGTAAACCCCGGCGGATCTGCTCAAACGAGAGCTTAGAGCAGGGCAATGCGTGGCGGAGCAGTGATTTAGGAGATGGGTGAGTATGAGGACCGCCTGCATGAGCTCGAGGGGGAGGCACGTTATTTCCCCCCTCCACCGCGGCACCCAGGCGGCCGCGAGCGACTCCACATCCAGAAGAGCAGCGTCTGCTCCAGGGCGTACTTCGTGGTGGTCATGGCCTTCTTCCACATCTATATAATAAACATCATAGCTTTGCTGCTTTATGTGCACTATAACACGGGGTCTGGGGAGCAGGATGTACCCCTGGAGAACAGTGCTGGTGCCCCTCGACCCATGCCTGCTGAGCACCGGACCCCATCCTCCGCAAGCCTGAGCCCTGAGCTCTCCTTCCAGCTGCCGCGCCTGGAGGGCATCCGGGTACATGCTCTGCTATTCACTGATATCAGATGTTTCTGATTCTGATCTTCCTCAACACTTTTAAAAAATCTGAGAAAGCAGGGTGTTTTTTTTTTTGCTTTTTATTTATTTATTTTTTAAATTTTGTCTTACATTTTTATAAGACATTCCTATATTTGTCTGTTACAAATTAAATTATTATATAGCAATATACAGCTTAGCCCTGAACTGTGTAAATTAATGTCAAGTACAAAGAGTGCTTTCTTCCAACCTACTGCACTAACAATTGTAATACTAATCGAAAACGTGGAGACTTTCAATTTTGTGCATGTTTAAAATAATGAATAATGTATCCCCATCACCACCTCCACCCTCATTTCATTTTAAATGTAGATTTTTTTTATTCAAAACGTTAATACAATAAGGCTGGAGACAAAGAAAACTTAAAAATTAAAACATTAAATTCAGATTTTTGCAATTTTAAGCATTTTTTTTTCAGACATAAAATGTTCACATTTTTATTATATGCATCCCCTTTTAGTATTTATTAAGATTTCTAATTAGCGTTGATCTTTTATATTTTCAGTTTTCTTCTTAGTTTGTTTTTTGACAATTCTAGCTTCTGTGGCTATATAATAGGTGAGAAACTTCTATGGTAAAACTATATCAGGTTTACAGTCTATTTGTGCTAAAACTTTAAAGCTATATCAGTGTAGCTTTGACTTTATTTCAGATTTTGTTTTATACATTTTAGTACTACAACACCGGCTTATTTTATTTCACTTAGTAGCTAAGGCAACATTTTTTGTTGTTATTTATTATTGTGACCCCTGACAAGAAAGGGAGCGATCCAAAAGAGAGAGAGCTATTTATGATTTCAATATTTACATTTTATATTGTATCAGCTTTATTTAAATGCATGAAACAATTTTAATGGTAAAAGTTGTGTTTTAGTTAACGATCACAACACAAGTCTAAATAAAAAAGACAATGTATTGCTATCTAGAATTTAAATAATCACATGTTTATAAATTGTGTTAAAAATGTGTTGATAAGTTTAAAAAATGCCTTTAATGACATTAAAGTTGATGTTAGCTATCCAAGTCATGATTCCATCACTTAAAGCACTCTTTTCATGGAGTAATCCAGGGGATGTTATATCTTTTCTGCTCAGGTTGGACATGTGCAAAGAGTTTCTCTGGTTCCCGACCGGACCCATAACATGCGCACCCTCAGCTTGAAGCCTCTGCTGTTTGGTGAGTTTCCAATTTCATCTGTAGAGATTTGTTTTTGTATAACTCTGTGTTTCGAGTTCAAATCGTTAATTACGGATGTAAAAGTGACCCTGAAATTTGTAACAGAAAATGGACTTGTAGACGCTCTTTTCAGAAAAAAACTTTTAAAAAAGTTTAATATCTTAAGTTTTAAAAATATAGTTCAAGGATCTTCTATTATTTACAACATTATGAACACTCTGAGGTACGTTTTCTGAAACTCTACCCTCTGCACCGATGGCTTTTCCACTTGCGTGCTGCTTGGCTGAGGTGCCGCTGGCGTTTTCCCCAGCTAAACGCTTTCGTGACCAGCAGTCGCTTGCCCGACACGGTGCCTGTCAGCAGGAAGGCTCCCCCGTCGGGATTGTTGCGGGTCAGGTTGCCCACGCAGGTGGCGTCCCGCTCCAGCCACAAGGTCAAACGGCTCCTCATTTCTCCTCCCAGCAGCGGGCCGTGCTTTAGGACCTCCAGCCGAGAGCCCAGGGAGAACATCGTCAGGACAGAACTACTGGAGTTCAGCTTGGATAGACGCACTTTAACCACTAGCAGAGAGAGAGGAATTTTCAGCATTAAAGTGCCCCTATTATGGATTTGTGAAAGTTACCTTTCATGCAGTGTGTAACAGCAGCTCTAAGTGAATGAAAACATCCTGCAACCTTTTAAATCTGAAAGTGTACCGTGTATAAAGTTATTGTCTCTCAAAAGAAAGAGTCGACTCTGAATCATTGAAACGAGTCGTTTTTAAAAGGAATCCCATGTTGACCTCAACATGAAACATTAGCATATTGCCGCCCACTTGTTGGTCTTTTCGCGTTGGTCTGAATGAAAATGCAAATTCATTCTTTGCCTAAGTGCACTGTTGGAGCGGTAAAAATAGCTGTTTCCCCGGTAACGCTGTTCACAACGCAGCACTGCGCTCACAAACGCTGCTTTATCAGGCATTACAGGCATGATGAAATAAAAATGAGACCAATCACCGCAGATTAGCGTCACGCAAAAGAGGGGTTTGGAAAAATGAATCGTTTGGGAGTCGTTGAGCAAGTAAGGTAAAAATAAATGCATATTATAAGACTATGTAAGTGTTTTTTGAGCTTGTATGCATGTCAATCTGTTGTTGGACACTCCCAAAACCAAAATATGAACCTTTCATAATCCATAATAGGGGCACTTTAACAATTTATGGTTGTTCTGAATGAGCAAAAAGTAGAGTTTCTTACCAAAGTCACTTTTACAGAAGAGGTCGAGCAGGTTTTTGGATGACGTGGCCTCCTCCAGCTCACAGTCTGTGCAGCTTGCACGCGGCACCACTGAAACAGAGAAAATCCTCGTTGTTTCTGTCTGCATTGCTTTGAGAAAATATGTATGTTAAAAAAAGAAAGATCTCCGTTTACCTCGGCTGTCATTGCTGGTGCCGTTTTGCATATGCGCAACTGAGGAAATGCACATTAGGTGATCTTTGGGAAACTGGTCGCATTGCAGTATTCTAGGCCAGGGGTAACCGTAGCAGTTCATGATGGGGGCGCAGCTGTCCCGTACCGACACACACAGACTCCTGCATGGTGAAATGATCCTGAAAGGCCAGAGGCGAAGCCATGAGAGAAACAATACAATTCTCTCACTGTTAAGAGCTTTGTTATGAATTGATGCAGAAAAGTAGCATGAAGATGAGAGGTTTCTTAGCCCACAGCCTGACAAATATATTCACTGGTGGCAAATTGCATATATATAAATATATATATATATATATATATATATATTAGTGCTGTCAAACGATTAATCGCGATTAATCGCATCCAGAATAAAAGTTTTTGTTTATATAATATATGTGTGTGTACTTTGTATATTTATTATGTATATATAAATGCACACACATACAGTACATATATTGAAAATATTTACATGTATTTACATTCACTCAAAAACTGAGGTGCATAAGGCCTATGATCAATCAGTTTCAAAAAATAAATATGAAAAATTACTGAAAGAAACAAGTTGACAAAAAATTGAGTTCAAGATTTGGTGATAATAAAGCATAATAGAGAGATTTATAAGCAATTTTTTTGTAGGACTGTCATTTCTAACCAGAAACACAAGTGTAATAAGGCAGGTAAAAATCCTAAAAAATTTAAAATATATATTTATTAAATTTAATTATAATTATAAATTATTATTTTTACTGGATATTTATTTTTATTTTATTAATGAATTATTTATTTTTTAAAGTTGTTATACCATGTATGAGCCAAGTCAGTAACTTTTAGTCCAATGCAATAACATTAACTACCAACTAGAAAAATACATTTATCCATGGGTCACGATGACTACAACAAGAGGATTAATCATTTAAAAACACATTCTTGCTTAAGCGAGGGTATTGTCTTTCTATATTGTTATTTCATTGCAGATGATTTTCACTTCCACTTAACATACACATTAGTACACATTTGCATGATAATGGCATCATTTAACTGATTTAAATGCTATGTAATGCTAAACACAAGCCACAACTGAAAAAATATCCTGTGTGTGTGTGTGTATGTGTGTGTGTGTGTGTGTATGTGTGTGTGTGTGTGTGTGTATGTGTATGTATGTATGTATATATGTATGTATATATATATATCTCTCATTTAGTGTTCAGCATCATTGTTCCTGCCGATCACTGAGAGTCAGTCTATTATAAGGAAGTCTTACCTCTCAAGGCACACAGGAGCGAAGAGCGAGCACAGGAAGATGCGGGCGTGTGGGTGGCACTCTCGGGCGAGTAGCGGCAGCCAGCTAGTGCTCTGCTGCACCGCTTCAGCTGGAGATTCGTGTCCCAGCAAGTTGGGCATCCGCATGCTGTTGTAGCCCAGACCCTGGCACAGGGCCATGTTGCTTGGGATGGGCACACAACGAGAGGATCCCTGGTGTTCCCAGAGTCCGCTGGGCACGGCACCAATGCCAGGGCCAAGCAGGAGCAGCAGTAGAGCAGACGCTGTCAGCATCATAGTCCAGAGAGCGTCAGAGAGCTGGAGGGTCAGTGTAAGGTAGTGTCAGAGTAAATCAGTAATAGGTGTATTTATACACCACTGCCTGAGGCCCATCTGGGAGAGGGCGGGACTTTGCAGGACGTGAGAGTGGATTGGTTAGGGAGGGTGTGTATGTGTGACTGTGTGTGAGGATCTGATTCTTCCGTTTCTCTGCTGGAGATGATGAACAGTGAGCTCCACTTTACCACACACTTCCTTTTCCTCTCTTCTTTCCTGAGGAGCGTGGTTATGATAATATAACACAACAGATTACTCACGAGTCAGAGGAGGTGTTCACACACACACACACACACACTAGATGCAGATGGATGGATGGATAGATGTTAGGTATATAAATAGATGAATAGATACATTTCTAGATAGACATAAATTGCAAGATAGATATAGATTGATAGAAAGATGGTAGATGGTTAGATATATAAATGGATAGATACATTTCAAGATAGATAGATGTTTGATAGATAGTTAGATATATAAATTGATAGATACTTTTCAATATAGATGATAAATGGATAGATAAATTGCAAGATTGATTGATTGTGAGCTAGAAAAATGGATAGATAAATTGCAAGGGGGTGGTTAGACAAATAGATGGTTAGATATATAAATTGATAATAAATTTCAATATATATAGATAAATGGATAGAAACATTTCTAGATAGATAAATTGCGAGAGATAGAAAAATGAATAGCTAAATTGCTAGATAGATGGTTAGACAAATAGATGGTAGATATATAAATTGATAGATACATTTCTAGATAGATGGATTCATAGATGTTAGGTAAATTAATGGATAGATAAACTAACAGATATAGATAGATAGATAGATAGATAGATGGATAGGTGAGTGGATAGATAAATGTTTGGATAGATTAGTAGATGATTAGATGCATAGATAGATAGATAGATGGACAGATGGATAGATAGTTAGTTAGATAGATAGATGGATAGGTGAGTGGATAGATAAATGTTTGGATAGATTAGTAGATGATTAGATGTTCATGGTTAGATGAATAGATAAATGTATTTGGATATGTTTTTTGTGTTCACTGTATGAGAAGTTGTTTTAGGAACGGTCAGCCAGTGAAAGTGTAAAGCTCTGGGAAGGCCTGGCTGTGACAGAGGTGTGTGAAAGGAAGTGTGTAAGTGTGAGAGGGCTGGAGCGGCGTCTGTGCGTGTGTGATGCTCAGGAGTTTTTCTTCCCCTGCTGGGAGCACCACACAATGTCTACCCCAAAAATGGCCCTCACTTCCTGTCCACTTCATTCCCAGGACCCTTTCTTTCCCCCTCGTCCCATCTATTGAATTAGAGAGACCGCATCTCTCGCAGACAAACCATGCGGAAGAGCTTTATGAAGAGCGTGCGTCTCTGTGCGTGTATATGTTTATGCGTTGTCTGCATTTGAATGATGTTGAACAATAACAGTGGTAGATAATGCTGAAACCTATATACAGTGATCTAAATCACAGAGCACTCTCACCCATCCCAGAGAAACAATGGCCCCCGCCGGAACACATTAATGGCACAGTCTCATTAACACTCTCAATGGGTCAGGCAATACCATGAGTCTCAAAGAGGGGGATGGGCGCAATTTATTAAATTTGCCAACTTAGTGGCCTCTGCTCTAATCTTAGCCATTTAAAAATGTGTCCATTACCCAGATTAAACCAGTCTTAATATATACAGTACTAGTCAAACATTTGGATACACCCACTCATTCTTTATTATTATTATTTTCCAAATGATTTTCGAAGTATTGTATAGTAAACCAAAACAAAGAACATTTATGTTCGTTTGTTTGCAAATAATATTTATAAAATATGTATTTATCTTCAAATAATAATTTCAAAATCATCAGTTTATTTGCAAATAATATCTATAGAAAAATGTATTTGATTGCAGATGAATATTTATCAAACATTTATTTATTTGCAAACGATATAAAAAATATTTATTGCAAACAATATTTATATAAACCCTTTTAATTGCATATTAATATTTATTTAAAAAAATTGTGTTTATTTATGTTTTATAAAATATTTCTAAAAACACTTATTTGCAAATTCTATTTATGGGGGGGGGAATCATTTATTTATTTACAAAGAATATATGTACGTTAATTAAATTAATGTATATAGAATAAATACATTATTTTTTTTTTTTATTTGCTTATCTCCAAAAAAAATTTCCTATATTAATATACTTGCTTTGTAAATATATTCATATGCCTACGTTTACATTTGCCTACAAAACTAATTTTATTTTAAGCATACTAATCTTTAAGATGGTGACACCCTAACAATTTTAGTAAATTTATCCCAAACGTCTGTGGCCTGTTGCATAAACTGATTAGACTAGTCATAGAAGTTAGTCATCTAATTGTATTTCTGTAAGGCTGGTTGTTATTCAAGTCGGTTACATAAAACAGAAAATTTGTCTAATTTGAATCCGAAAGTAAGACAGATTGCCCTTGGCTAACCGCTAGTTGGTCAAGCTAGTTCTTTAGGTAAACCGTCTTAAAATAGTAGCTGTGTTTATGCAACTGGACTCAGACTGACTAGTACTTTTTTACTACCAACTTCTGTATCTTCTCATTCACCTGGGAATGATGGTTCTCACCAAATGAGAATTGATTACATTAACACCCATTTGCAGTGTCTGTTGATTAGCCTGCATAGTGTTAGTGTGATCCTTTAATCCTGGAGTCTAATCTCATAATGTTCGCCCTGTCTGCCTCTCACAGACACTTACTGCTACAATAGATCAAACACAGATACTCTGAAATCAGGTCAGCCTTTAAGACTCTCTTAACACGTTGTTAGGAGGTGTGCTGGGATCTTCAGCTGATACGCACAACAGAGAAGACTGTAAGCAATCACATAGCAATGCTGTGGAATTCACCTTACCATACCAGCATCACGGAGGAACATTTGCCATGTTCATTTGCCTTAAAAGTAGTGCTGCCAAACGATTAATCGCGATTAATCGCATCCAAAATAAAAGTTTTTGTTTACATAATATATGTGTGTATTTATCATGTATACAGTATATAAATACACACACATACAGTATATATTTAGAAAATATGTACATGTATTTACAATCATATATATTATATATAAACATAACATAGTTTTTCTTAAATATATACATGCATGTGTCTATTTATATATATGTAATAAAAAGAACAGTAGTGTGTATATATTATGCAGTATAGGATATATAGGTGCTTAAAATGCAGCATGCAGACTGACAGTGGCATGTTGACGTGTGTTTCAGAGATCCCGGGGTTCCTGAGTGTGGAGGAGAGCAGTGTGGTGATGCAGCTGGCCCAGCTGAAGGGCCTGACCCACAGCTCTCTGCTCACAGCGCCAGACAGCCAGGAGGAGCAGCTCACTCAAGACCAGCTCTTCAGCCTGCTCGACCTCAACCAGGACGGCCTTCTGCAGAGAGAGGAGGTCAGACACAGTGCTGCCGCTTACATGTATCAGTTCAGTGGCTTCAATAGAATAAAAGAACATTTAGTCAGTAGGGGTGGGTAATATGGCAAAAATATCATTTCACGATTTTTTCCAGAAATATCACGATTTTGCAAGTTGGCTGAGCAGTAAAGCCAAACTAATTTCCCTATTTTAAAAACAAAGCCTTACAAGGTAACCAAATATAAAATGAAAAGAGTGGCAGATATTTAGGTTAAAGCGGGTGAAGAAACAAATGAAAGGTTTTATTAAAGTTCTTGTGTTTTGCTGTTTAATTAACATTAAAGGGATAGTTCACCCAAAAATCTATTAATTGACTCACTCTCAAGTTGTTTTTTAAACCTGAATGAGTTTCTTTTTCTGTTGAACTTAAATGTCATTTTGAAGAAAGTGGGTAACCAAACAGTTGCTGGTCCCCAGTGGCTTCATAGTTTTTTCAAAGTCAATGTGGACCAGCTAATTTTTGGTTACCCACATTCTTTAAAATATCCTCCTTATCACATTCAACCATTCTGGAAAGGGGTTCATTCTGTAACCCGGGAGATAACAGGGAAACGTTTTATTTCATCTCCTTCACTTTATTTGTTGAATGACACTCCTAAAGATCTTTTTGACTCGGACTCTAAGCCTTTGTTTGTAATACTCTCATTTTTGGCTAAAAAATGTATTCTACTGAAGTGGTCTATGCCTCAGGTTCCAGCTGTTACTATGTGGATATCCCAGCTGTCTGCCTTTCTTCCTCTGGAGAAATTAACTTATGATCTCAATCACGAGTTGGACAAATTCTGGAGACTTTGGGAACCCCTCCACTCTTTTTTTTTTTTTTTTTACAAAAACTCTCAACTATTATTTTAAGAGAGCTTTGGCTCGTCCATGTTTTTGTTTGAATTAAGCAGGTAGAGATGAATATTTTTTTTATTTATTTATGCATTTAGCAGACGCTTTTATCCAAAGCGACTTACAGTGCATAATTAATAATAATAATAATAATAATTAATAATGAATTAATAATGAATATTTTAAGGGATGTGCTATTTAATTCTCAGCGCTTGGGGGTTTGGTTTGTTTGTGTGTCTGCCTGATTGTTTTGATTGTTAGTGCCTGTATTATTTGAAAATCCTTAATAAAAAAAAAAGAAAAAAATAATATGTAAAATGCAATAATAATATAATAAACATTGAATAAACATTTACTTTAATATAAAATTTTTTTTTTTAAATCCTCCTTTGTGTTCAGCACAAGAAAGAAATGAATGCAGTGACTAAATAATAACAGAAATGTAATTTTCTGTTATTAAACAGAAAATTAAAGCTGTTGCAAACCTGTGCGAGTTGTGGTGGACAGGAATATTTTCAGTCATAATGACTGTCAGATAGGGATGTGCGTTTTAAGGAGACTTGCCGCCACCTACTGGCGGTTTTTGTGTCATATTTATTTATCCGTGACGGGCCTAAACCTGCCAAATTCCCAGCACATAAACACACTCAGCAAAATATCATTTTATTTACCTGTCTCTAAAAATACAGAGTCTCTAAAATAAAAGTCTCTAAAAATACAGAGATATTATTTTTTGTCAATATCGCACACCCCTACATTCGGTGTATATAAATGCATTGTATATTTTCTTCAAAAACATGGTAGTTTTCAGTGCTTCTTTGAAAGCTAAATTACTTTGAAAGCTAAAATAATACAGTTACAATACAGAACAACGAGAGAGTGAGGAAATGATGACAGAATTCTGTTCTTGGGAATACTGAGTGAGCTGAGACTCGCTGAGGTAGCGTCCCCTCTTCCGGTCCCCCTGCTCTATTGTCTGGAGAGTGTCCCGCTGTGGTTCGGTTCCGGAGGGGAAAGAGTGAAGACTCACTGACCCGCGAATAAAGGAGAAAAACAGAGAAATGCTATTCTTGTTTTTCTCGCCTTGCTCATTGTAACGCTGCCATCAACAGTTATGTTTTACTTGTGGTGGTTTTTTTGAGGTGAGCATCTCTATTAATGTTTCACATACTTAAGGTAGAGAGTTTAAACGCATCCCTAAACCTAAATAATAAACCTTTGGATGTAACTTCTGCATCATTTGTGATTTGTGCTACATAATGATGCCTCAAATCATAAGGCTTGTCGACGAATCCCAAAGACTTACAATGGAGGAGGAGTCCAAGCCATATATAGAGACCAGAATATCATAGAGACTTGTAAATGGGCTCAGTTGACCTGGACCTGAAGGAAACCACTTAGAGCATGCTAGCAACCACATAGAAATGCGTTAAAAATATTCAGAACTTAGCAACCATATAGCAACACATCTCCCACAATATACTGGCACGTTTTCATCATTTCTTCATGACTTTCCGCTTTAAATGGTCTAATAGATGCATTAACTCTCGGAATGTGATTTTATTGCTACATGGAAGCTATAGGTGATTTCGAGGGGTGTGTGTTTGCAGGAGTTTTGTCTCTGCAGGAGTTTAAGCGTGTCAGTGGTGGAGTGTTGCAATACAGCGCCGCTGGCCAAGGCTTGGACGGACATGCCAAGGTCAGGCAGAGAAGCACACACACTCGACTTTACCTCGGAGAGGGCACACACCACCTGCTGAAGAGCATCAGAAACAGGTAAGGCTTTCTGATGGGCGAAGTAGTGCTTAAAGCTCAGGGCTGGTCATCAAAAGGTTCCTGGTTCGATCCGGCACAATCATGCACTTGAGCAAGGCGCTTAAAGAGATAGTTTACACTTTAATTGTTTACTCACCTTCATATTATTCCAATCCTGTACGGCTGTCTTTGTGCTGTGGAACAATTTGTTTTGTTTTGGACTTCTCATTGACATTCATTCTATGGACAAAGAAGTTGGAACGGTTTGTTTTGGGTTCATTTTTTTTTCTTTGTTTTGTTCGGGTTTGGACTTCTCATGGACTTTCACTGTATGGACAAAGAAGTTGGAACTTTTTGTTTTGTTTGTGTTTATTTTTGTTTTATTGTTCTGTTTTGGACTTCTCATTGGCTTTAATCTTGTTTTTTGTTTTTGCTTTGTTTTGAACTTCTCATGGACTTTCATTGTATGGACAAAAAAGTTGGAACATTTTGTTTTGTTTGTTTATTTTTGTTTTATTGTTTTGTTTTGGACTTCTCATAGGCTTTCATCTAGTTTTTTTGTTTTGCTTTGTTTTGGACTTCTCATTGACTTTCATTGTATGGACAAATAAGTTGGAACATTTTGTTTTGTTTGTGTTTTTGAACATTTGTTTTGTTTTGTTTTGGCATGCACAGACAAAAACAATTGAAACATTGGTTATGTTTTGTCTTGTTTTTGCCTTCCATATTGACTTTCACTGACAAAACCAGTTGAAACAAAACAGAAAAGAGACGGAGAAAAAAATAAATAAAAGGAGTTTGGTGTTCTGTAGCAGAAAGACACCCATTCAGGATTGGAATGATATGAGGGTGAGTAATTGATGACAGTATTTACATTTTGGGGTGAACTGTCCCTTTAATCCCGGGTCACCAAAGGAAGATTTTTCTTGAAATAACATTGCTTTGGGGTAAAAATCTGCTACTTACTTGTGTGCTAGACATTGTACAAAGTAGAGCTAGATTAAGACATGCAGATAAAAACATAGACAAACTATTTATTTATTTATTCATTCTCCAGAGTGACCCGTTTAACGCGACTGCCGTCCTCATTGGTCGATCTCAGCGAGCCAATGGAAGTCGTCCGTTATGAGCAGGGCGGCTACAGCCACGCCCACCACGACAGCGGCCCCACCAATCACGACAGCAGCTGCGCCCACACACACCTGGCAGCTAATAACTCCGCATCCAAGCAGGTCGCATGCAGGTACATCTACTGTATAAGACATTTGGAATCTGTTTGAGTGACTCTTAAAAATGTTACGCCATATTAAGCCTGTATCTGACCTGATACGCAGGTATCTGACGGTCTTGCTGCATCTGAACCCGGCGGATGGAGGTGGAGAGACCAGCTTCCCTGTGGCTGACAACAGGACATACGAGGAGGAGGTGAGCCATTTCCTGTTTCTATGGCAACTGGGGGAGGTGAGGTATGTTGCCATGGCAACCAGGCAGCAACAGGAAGAAGGTCTTGAATTATGATAGCTATCTTAGGCACTTGACGTTATTGCAGCTTCACTTTTGTGTGTGTGTGTTGCAGGTCTTAGGTGATCTCTCTCAGCAGTACTGTGATAAAGGTAATCTAAAGGTCAAACCTGTAGCTGGAACCGCTCTGCTGTGGTATAACCACCTCTCAGATGGCAATGGTGAGTTTCTCTCTTTCACATGCCTCCATTTCCTGTATTTGTGACTATATCTTTTTTTATTATTATTGTTATCAGAGCTGGGTAGATTACTTACAAATTGTAATCCGTCACTGATTCCAAATCGCATGACAAAAATTGTAGTTAGTAACGTAATCCATTAGATTACACATTTTAGGTAATATAATCACACTACTTTTAGATTACTTTTGGATTACTTTTGACCTAACTCGTTTATCACATTGATTTAAATAGGATAATCTTGTACCATATTAATATAAAAACATAAATCAGTAAGAAAATATATTCTATTCGTTGTTGTTAGCAACATGAAGTGCATGTCATGTGACCATAATCAATGTCAGAGAACCGTGAACATGCAAATGTGATACTTAATTATTAAAAAATGTATTTGTAAATCTCATGGTACTTCAAGTAAATATATTAGGTGAAAGAAAATCAGATAACAAAAAAGTTGGTGAATTTATGTGCATTTTAATGTGTTTGAAAGACAAACGCCTTCCAAAGTAATACATGGGAAAATAACCGATTGTGTGATAATTCAAATCAAAATGAATGTGTTCATCAGTAGTTCATGCGATGTTGAAACACTTCTTAAACTTGAAATGATTTTTGTAAATCCTGTGGTCAAATGCTGCGTAGCCGTCTGACTAATGGCTGATCTCTGTGTGAATGTCCACGAAACGGGAAGATTTTCTGAGTGTATATAAGCAGTAGGCTTTTAGAAAGGAACATTTAAAAGATGTAAAAAAGGAAATGGGGTGAATCAATAAATTCTGAATAATTTATTTCTATTGTGAAAATAATATGCAACCATAAGAGTTGCATATTATTGGAGTCTGATTATGAGTATTTTAAAATATAATCTAATCTAACTACAAGTACTTATTTTTTTGTAATCTGATTACGTAATCCAGATCACATGTAATGAGTTACTTCCCAGCTCTGATTGTAGCGTATGCGTAATGAATATTAATGAACTCCCCATTGTTCTTCTTCACATATTTCCGTCAGGTTGGGTTGGAGAGCTGGATGAATTCTCTCTGCACGGCGACTGCTTAGTCACTCGGGGCTTCAAATGGACAGGAAGTGTGTGGGTGAACATCGACCCAGAGCAGCAGCGGCAGGAGCGCTACCAGCGTCTGGTCTCATGGCATCCAGACGGCCAAAGCAAAAAGCCCGAGCACGGAGACCTTCACCAAGACCTCTGAACCAGACGATCAGACAGCTGATCCAGATTCAGTTTCTGCTAACGTGAAGCCGTGTTTAGGAAAGTAAAAGCTGGTGCAGTAAGAGATACCCGCTGCTGTGAGCTTTACCTTTATATAGCTGTCAGCCCCTGCTCCGGTGACATATCATTTAATATTCATGAGTTCAACAGGGAAATTGCTTTCAATAATAGCTAAACGTTCACTGATACATAGTTTGCTGGTGTCGCACAACTTATTTATTCCCTATTTATGAAAGACTTTTAGTCAGTGTGGTTCAAAGTTATTATTTATTTGTCAATTTGCTATTTATTTAATTATTTATTCATATATATCAAATGTGTGGTGTGCACACACACATATAAATATAGTCACATAATGTGTGTCTATCTCAGGTTTGGTTACGCACAGGTTGTCTTTTTCCATTTTAATGCACTATTGCAAGCAAAGAAATTGTCAGATATGTAAGTTAAATTAATTATGAAATAAAGTCATATTTATAGAAGAGTGAATGGGTGGTGTTTTCGATTTCACTGGTCGGCTTTCTGTAGGAATTAAACCTCAGCAATCACACATTACAGATTTCACCGATATACAAGTGTAGGTGTTCCCCACAAGAGGGCATTGTTTTTACTTAACAAGGTTCTGTTTATTTATGCATTAATATATGCATTAATTTTTGACAAGTATGAAAGCCAGGCTGTGAGGGATTCGAAATACAGTGTGTTCAATGGACCGTACTGTTGTTTAACAACATACCGATTGTTCAGCTGACAAAACATCTTTCCAAAAACACTTTTAGTACACAAAACTCCATAAAACAGTTTTGAAACTTAGTGGCATGTCTTTTGAATTTTAAACTTTAATGGTGTAGAACTGGCAGTGATAATGTAATGTAATCCATGTAAGGGGACCCGCGGTGTATGTAGATATAAATTGCTCAATCTAAGGTAATACAAACATAACGGTTCATTAAGTCAGGTCTTTATACACCTCTGAAAACATAGTTATGTATATTATATTGCATTTCTGTCAATAGATCGACGTAAATATTACACATCGCACCTTTAAGTATCCACTACAGATTCTAACAATTTCTGTTCTAACAATTTGATAACCCTTTCATTTGAGTAACCTTCCATTTGTTTTCATTACAGAAAGCTATATTCTCAGAATGTTGCCACTTTAGATGACACACGCATGCCATATTCAAAAGAAAAAAACTTTTAAATGTGCTACCTGAAGGTACTGTATACACACACACACACACACACACTTCTCCTGTGCTGTAGCTGCTGAGGGAACTCAATAGAACAGCATGTAAGCCATTATTGCAAAAGATCCTTTAATACCCTCTGGATCTTGAGGCTTAATACAGAGTCTATGGAATTTTGGGGCTTTTGGTGACTCACTAAACACGAATAGTTTCTCACAGCTGTCTGGCTATGCTTGTATACTCTATAAATTCGATACTGCTTTGTGAATACCTTTGTGCTTGGCAAAGGCAAAAGACCCTTTCTATCCCCTGAAGTATGGTGCAAACTACTTTAATAGGGTACAATAAGTCTAAAGGGGGTTATTTAGGTCCATTGTAACTACTAGAGAAGTTAGAGACATCTTCAAATGTGTTTTGGTATAAAACTGGACTCTTGAGTGTATTATGACAGGTAATAATAAAAAGAAAAAGACATTAATAAATGAATTCATATTCTGTGAAATGAGATCTACACTTTTAACTGTTTTAATGATTTTGCCCAGCTAATTAAAGGCCTTTTATTTTTACTACACGAGCGCCTTGGAGTATTTCATCTTCTCAGATTAATAAATGAATATTGATTGAGTAAAATGACTTTAACTATTAAAAATGAAAAACTTTTAAATGCTGAAGTAATTAAAAATGACTTTAAAAAATAAAAAAAGCTACTTTAATACGTCACTTAATTACAAGAACGTACTTTAAAATGACTTAAAATAGTTCAAATCATTTTAAATAGGACATAATTTTCACAAACTTCAAATTGTGTGGATCCACTCATATGCACCCACTTAAAATATAGAGTCAAATTTTACAAACAGGTCTAAGTAAATTAATGAATGAATCTGCATAACATGTAATCGGCCATGATAAGTTCAACAGTAAGGTTAAGTCCAGGGAACATCCGTTCAAGTCAGGTTCCTTTTGCCAAACCACGTTTATTCTTCCTTTTCACCAGGTCCTCAAGCTACTAATCAACCTAGTGCACTCAAATGAACCCAGCATTGATCATGAGTGGCTCACTCAACACGTTTCTGTTTAGATTTGAGCCCGACGAGTATTGATCTCTGCAACTCTCCAACACATCTTCTTACACCGTGTGTTAACAGATGAATAGTGTGTCGCTGTGAGACCAGTGTTGCCAACTAATTCTCATGTAAAGTTGCTAAAGGAAGGTCGATTTGTTGCTAAATGACGTTGTGATGCAAAAATGTCTCCGCATCAAATCTCAGCAAAAATACATTTGATATGTTATTTAGATTTGTTTGTAAAATAATATAAATACATTATATAATTTCAAAATATAAATAACTGTATCTTTAAATACAACATTGAATTATTGAACACTTGCACATTTTTTAAACCATTACAATTATTTCTTTTTTTATTGGCTAATAAACAAATAAAACGACACATTCTGAACAATTCTAGGTTTAAGCAGTGTATTAGTAGTTAGTTAGTATGCTACACTCTAAGAAAAGTCTAAAAATAGAGCAAAATCTACTCTATGTTAATATGAAGACATTTTGCCTATTGATTTTTCAAGGGTTTTTTCCTGCATACACCCCATTGTGTTGTGTTTTCGGGTTGCAGGGTTACAACAGATAATGGATAACACATAACGTCCTGAAATTACTAGTACCTTTTCCATTTTTCTCAATATTTTTCTTACAGTGACCTAACTGATCAACAATCGCAGGCACAAGCTAAGGTGTGTCATAAATGAACAATTATTCAATAACAATTATTCATTAAACTGAACAATTGCAAATAGCTGCTAACTTAATTCACGTGATGTGTGTACTGCCAGGCATCTTTAGTTTCCTCTTTTTGTGAAATTTAGATGGAAATTGTGTGCCTTTTTATCGTTTGAGTCACTTATCAAAAGTTGCAAAAAAATTGGCAAATAAAAAAAAAAAAACTACATTTGTTGCAAGGTGCTTTTGGAAGAAAAAGTTGCTAGGGTTGTGTGAAAAGACTCGTGCAGAATCAGAATCAGTACGCGGCTTTTGTTAAACCTCCTGTTATTTATTGGAAAGGTTTATGTCCATAAATGTAAATATACTAAAAGTAAATCCCACTTTAACATCTTCACACAAGAACTGAAGTTGTATTTAAATACAACTTCAACGTCTGCTAACAAGAAAGCTATAAAAACATCTAGAATTTGTGCCATGTTTAAGATACTTGTATTTCTATTTGTGTGCCTTTTTTTTCTTTTTTCTTCTGTCCTTTTCTTAAGAATTTTTATATGATATTGTTTTTTTCTGTTTTATCTATTAATCCTCAAGTAGTTTATTATTGATTGGTATTTTGTATGTTATGTACGTACTGTTTTTTTACTGTTTGTTTTGTACGTGCTGTAATCCTTGTTGTTTACTGCAATAAAAAAAAAATTAAAAATAAAATAAAAAGTACGCGGCTTTTGTCAGTCAGCTACGCGTTTGTGTGCGATAACGTCGGACATCAGCCAATCACAGACGACCGCACATTCCTCAGCCAATCACAGACGACCGCACATTCCTCAGCCAATCACAGCGCCGCGCCGAGCGTCATGACCGGGACGCTGCAGAGCTGAGCGCTGATGCTTAGATCCAAGCTCACACCTGCTTCCCCTTCACCAAACCGGGAGCTCCTCTGAGACTTACTATCATGCGCGTTTAACCAACATCCATGCGATTCTTCAGGCTTACCTTCAAGTGCTTTGTCGACTGCTTTTGAGACGCTTTTATTCCTCGTCTGTCAGCGACGCACGGCAATTATTGTAATTTGGAGCTCAATCTTGTCAGCGTTCTGCAGAAGATCAGTCTCACACAAACAATCGGACAGCAACCCCCCGGACAAGTACCGCACAACGCGAATTAAACAATAATAAAAGGCGAAGAGCCGTTATTAGTCAGTCCTCGCGCGCGGCATGTCGCCAGAAGAGCACTTCTCCGGTAAGCTTGTTTGTTTACACACCTAACGACACGGTAATAACCGTGCATCTGTACATCGACTGAACCAGGTTGGTGTTCGCTAGTAGTGTATCTCGAGCTCTCTGAGCAGATGCAGAGCTGGTCTCCGTGTGTTCACTAGTGCTGTCAAACCATTACTCGCGTCCAGAATAAACGTCTTGTGTGTGTGTGTGTGTGTGTGTGTGTGTGTGTGTGTGCTGTTTTATTATGTATGCATAAATACACACGCACATACAGCATTTATTTACATGTCTATATTTATATTCATATAAGTTATATTAGAAATAAATATATTTCATATATAAACATAACATATTTTTCTGAAATATATACATGCACGTGTGTATTTATATATTCATAATAAATATACACAGTAGACACGGATATATTATGTAAACAAAAACTTAAATTTGAATGAATAAGCTCTCCATTGATGTATGGTTTGTTAGGATAGGACAATATTTGGCCGAGATACAACTATTTGAAAATCTGGAATCTGAGTGTGCAAAAAAATCTAAATATAGAGATAATCGCCTTTAAAGTTGTCCAAATGAAGTTCTTAGCAATGCATATTACTATCAAAAATTACGTTTTGATATATTTATGGTAGGATATTTACAAACATGATATTGGAGCATGATCTTTACTTAATATCCTACTGGTTTTTGGCATAAAATAAAAATGGATAATTGTGACCCATACAATGTGTTGTTGGCTATTGCTACAAATATACCCCGGTGACTTAAGACTGGATTGTGGTCCAGGGTCACACACACACACACAGTTTGTTTTTATGGTTTATGGGGACTCTCCATAGGCGTAATGGTTTTTCTACTGTACAGACCGTATACTCTATTGCCCTACACCAACCCTACCGCTAAACCTACCCCTCACAGGAGACTTTCTGCATTTTTAGATTTTCAAAAAAACTCCTTCTGAATGATTTATAAGCCTTTTGAATTACGGGGACACTGAAAATGTCATGCAGAATCAGAATCAGTACGCGGCTTTTGTTAAACCTCCTGTTATTTATTGGAAAGGTTTATGTCCATAAATGTAAATATACTAAAAGTAAATCCCACTTTAACATCTTCACACAAGAACTGAAGTTGTATTTAAATACAACTTCAACGTCTGCTAACAAGAAAGCTATAAAAACATCTAGAATTTGTGCCATGTTTAAGATACTTGTATTTCTATTTGTGTGCCTTTTTTTTCTTTTTTCTTCTGTCCTTTTCTTAAGAATTTTTATATGATATTGTTTTTTTCTGTTTTATCTATTAATCCTCAAGTAG